AAAAAAAATCTTGATAATACACTGATAAAAAACTTAGTTCACAAAGGAACCAAACAAATACTTAACTATTGCCTGACTTTGGTATGAGATATTTTGAATAAAAATATAAAATTTGGTGCTATAAAGGGTGTACCTGTATTCTGAATCTATGTGAAAAACGTTTAATATATGAATTTACATTTAATTTCAATATATTATATTTCCTTAAGCAATGACTTACTAGAACCTGATCATTTAATACTAAAATTCATGTCAAGACTAAGTAGGCAAGAATATTAAAGAATGTTTTCTCTAAAAATGTTAGCATGAAAGATTGACCTCTTAGATTTTGTGAATAATTATAACCTAACAGTTTTAAAACTCTGATAATATATTATAAAATTGATTAACATGTAAATTCTAGAAAAAGGATCAAATGTTAAGGATTCAAGACATGATGAACTCAAAGCAAGTATCAATCAATAAATGAACATTTCAAAAAGTGTTGGTAGGACATATAGCAATATCATCAATCAGAAAAATGAGAATGAACTTATATCTACATATGTTGCACTCCATTCTAGATGGTCAAAGAGTTAAAAGATGTTTATTGCTGTTCTGTTTGTATAAAATAGATAAAACACTGTAAAAACAAGTTTATCTACATATATATAGGTTTATTGAAATGAAGGGTACTCAGCTAATGGGCTTGAGGTCTAAAGTAACGTTTTATCAAGATTATTGCATAAAGGTTTATCGTTAGTTATGAAATATGTTATGTCTCTACCACATATCCACTTTCCACAATGCATGGGAACAGTTGAGACTTGGCATCAGAGGCCTAGGTTTTTGACTTTGAAACTGTCCCATAGAAACTGTGTACACCTGGGCAAGGCCCTTCACATGCTTGAATCTCACCTTCCCTATCTAGGGTTACTGGGAGGATCAAAAGAGAGCAAAGTGAGATACTCTATGAACAATAAAACACTATATAATTATTATATGTTATATGACAAGTATAATTTCTAAGAACATGTTAGGAAATGACAAAATAAAGGAATACTAATCTCAGATATTTTGACAAATTGTAAAATATTTAGATTATTTTTCATTAATAATAGTGACTGTGAAGTTATTCCCTCTTCAGGACTTTAATATTATGACTATTAGTTATTTTCTCCATCTGCTATGGAATTGCCAATTATTGATAAACAACTATTAATGATTAATAAAGAATAATGGATAAGCACTTCCCCCTCTTTTGAAGTATTTTTAAAACACAGTAGATATTTTAGTCAATATAGAACTGAGAATTATCAAGTATAAATACAAATATGAGTTGTTTTAACCATGGAAAGCAACCATAGAAAGTAAAAGCCTTTTTCTGTCTCTAACTTTAAAGAGTATATTGAGTGTATTTTGCCATTGGTTCTTGGAACATGAATGCTGAGGTTTCTTTATTTTCCTTCAAGAAATCACTGTAATTTTCCTTTTCTTGAAAAATTAGAGAAAATGATTACTGTTTATAAAATTGTCTTAGGTTTGTTTGTTACCAGAGAATGTGAATGTGATAGGGAATGCCTCTGAGAATAAGGAAACATTTCAGATTTTTATTGGAAACATTTGGGGTTTTTATTAGTTTCTTATGTCTTTTTTTTTCTTTTAGATTTAGATTTGTTTTGATTATTTGGCCTACTTATTTCAAGAAGCTAAGCAGCATGTTTCCTGTTTTTCCAATTGTATTTGATATTTAAAGTGACTGAGACATTTGGAATGGTTCCAAAACTGAATAGTTTTTCATTTAATATAAAGTAGAGTAATTCCCAGGGTATCTTGGCATAGAAAGTGAATAATCACTTGGCACGGCATCTCTGATGGATTTGAGTAGTAGCATGTGCTTTTAAACTATATTTAAGCCATTATTACCACTTGGAGAGGGGAAAAACCAGCATAGCTTGTGTTCAATAGAAAATGGAATAGTATAGTAAAGAGTATATAGTACTCTTTAACAATGAACTTAAAAATAAGGGGCAAAATGTGGAAGAGGAGGGAAAGGCATTGTAAGTCCAATAATTTGTGTTTTTCTTTTTGTGTATGTGACCGGAATATAGAGTCAGGGTACTTGTGACAGTCAGATTTCTATACCAATTTACCTGGAAAATTTGAAACTATGAAATCAATATGAGTTTGCACACAGTTTTCCTCTTTGTGGATTGCCAAATCTATTTGTTTCATGTACATAATTCTCAGCCCTGTAGAAATCTTTTAAAATCAGAATTGAAAGCCATCGTCTGTGTTTATGAATTCCAAGCATTTAGATATTCGATTAACCCCAGCTCTCATCCATATGCTTTCCTTATGTAAACATAACTTAAATGCATTTCTGTGGCTTATCTGGTTGTACTTGAATTCATATGGTGGTTATTATAAAAACCAAAATCATCTTTTACTCCCTTTTGCAGTTGAAAAGGGCAGGCAGAAGAATCCCAGAAGTTTATGTATCCAGACACAGACATCTCCAGATGTGCTGTCCTCTGAAAAAACACTTGAGTTGGCTCAATGTAAAGCAAAATGTGAAAACCAAAGTGGATTTATCCTGCAGCTCAAGCAGCGTCTTTCCCGTGGTAATACCACATTTGAAGCGTTAACAGTTGTCATTCAGCACCTACTGTCTGAGGTAAGGATCCAAGCGGGCTTTCTTAGGTGGGGGGCAGGGATTGAGGTGTGAGCAGTGCTCAGGCTCTTGTCTTGTGAATACCTTTAAGTTAATGATGGGTAAGATCAGATACAATTCATCTAGTTGTGCTTTTGTCAACTCACTTGATAACCCGAGTCATTCTCTAGAAATTTGGGATGGAAACATTTCTAGTAGGTACTTACTTTACTTCTTTAGAGTCTCTCAGGCCAACAATAAGAAAAAGATAATTGCCTGCTATATTTCTATACACTGCAGACTATATTAGCATTAACATTTTTTTCACTTGATTTTTTTTTGTCTAACTCTATGTAGCTTCCATATCACAGTTTAACACTTTGAAAAATGAGGTTAATTATATTTGTGGGTCAAAGAACACTTTTGAGGTAACTCAGTACGGTCTGGGGACCCTTGAGAATTTCCATCCATTTCCTAAAATAGTTTGTGGTACAACAACTGCAAAACAGATTTTCTTAGATTACTTACTTTTCCCTGATATGTTATAAGGATGTCAACTCAGGAACTAGTTAGCATTATTTAAGAAGACTGAGTTTCTATGAACATATGCTTCTGGCATAGCAACAAAAACACTTATCTAGAGGGAAACACTGTTGTGAGAATGTAACTTGAGCTCTTTACATATATTTTTAATCAAAATTTTAAAGATGGGTATACATGAAATCTCAAGAAGAACACTGATCAGTTTGCTTGTTCTGTAGTTGAGTTCAATCCAACAAACCTCCATTTATTTCCCCCAGAGGCTCCCATGACATGGCTGCCTATGTGGGGAGACAGACGAATGAGACTTGGTCTGTGCCTTGACAAGCTACCAAGCTAGTGGGCAGTTTAGATCAGTATTTGATGAACATTTTACAGCTTTGTCCAAATATAGTTTTTTTGAGAGGGAGATGGAGAGATTTAACTAGTTTTTAAATTACAGCACATATATAGTATTTATATTTTTCTTTGATATGTAAGGAAGGAATTCTAGAGTTGGCTTATATAACCAAGTAAGCTAAATTGGAAACCACATAACATAAAATTTAGGGAACAGTAGTTTGTCTGTTTAGTTATAAACCAGTTATTTTATTATGTCTAACCTAACGAACGACCCGTGTTCAACTTTTTTCTCTCCTTTATCTCCCACATGAAATCAGTCATCATGTTCTGCGAACTTGCATCCCACAGGGGTTGTCCCCTTCATGCCCTCTTTTCCATTCTTATTAATGCCAGACTTATTCACACCCTGGGTAACTGTCCTCTAGATTATGATAATAACTTCCTAACCAGTCTTCAGGCTTGCACCGTTTCCCCTATAATCCATCCCAAGCACTGCTGACAGATTCATCTTTCCAAGCTTAAAACCTTCAGTGGTTCTCCATTGTCTATAGCTGATTTGTCCCATATGGTAGCCACTAGCCTTACGAAACTATTGAGCACTTAAAGTGTAGTCAGGCTGAATTGAGATATGCAGTAAATGTAAAATACATGTGGATTTGGAAAACAGTATGGGAAAAAAAAGTGTAAAATATCTTGTTAATAATTTTCTGTTGACTATATGTTGATAATATTTTGGATATGCTGGGTTAAATAAAATGTATTAAAATTAATCTTTTAAACTTTTTAAATGTGGCTACTAGGAAATTAAAATCACATACATGGCTCACATTATATTGCTTTTGGATGACGCTGGTATAGAACTTGGAATGTGAGACTTTCTAATTTGGCACCAACTGCCCCTTTTCACCTTACTCTCGCTGCCTGATGCTCTAGGTGTATATATTGGGAGGTAGAGAAGAAACGAGAGTGATTTATCATTTGTTTAATATTTACTAAGTACCAGACAGTCTTACTTATTGAATCCTCTCCAAAAACACAAGTTGGGATTTACAAATAAGAAAATTGGGGAATAGAGCTGTCAAGAATCTTGACTATCATCAGACAGCTGGTAAGAGGAGGATCAGGACTTAAACGCAGGTCTAGGATACTATGAACTCTAAATCCCCTGGTCACTTCCTGTGCTTTTTCATCCTTTGTTCACATACCATTATTGGGCTACCACTCTTTCCCCTGATACATACGTGCTCAGATCTTGCTTACAGGAGCATCAGTCACTACCCACATTTAATTTACATGGACTCATTATACAATCAGCCAATTAAGTAGGCCAGGCCGCTCTGCCTTGCATGCGGCTCACTGAGCAAAGGCCCAGGAGTGACGTGAGGTGAGACAGGAGCCAGCCCTTCCTGCAGCTGTATTCTCAGCTCCTAAGTACCTCGTGCACATGAAACTTCCATGCTCTGTGTGACCTTAGTGTTTAAAAATACTTTCTTCTAATGTGACCTGACCCCTAAACACAAGCCAGAGACACTTTATCAGGTGCTCAGTTGAAGAAAGAGTAGCTCCAACACTGGAGGAAAAACCTCACAGGACACGACATACTGAGAGATGCTTTGTCAGTCCACAGCAGGGCAATTCTTAATGAGTTTCAGGGATACTCTTACTGTATGTAAATTTCATCTTACACCTAATTAGGTCCTAATGCCCAAGTCATTGTGACTCTACTGAACTTCTAAAAATTCAACTCAAAAACTCTTTTATGAAGACTTTCCTGGTCCTTCTAGCTCTATGTTCTACTTAACGGGTGGATTCTAGGAGCACTTACATTTCTCTGTCACTTTCTACCTTTTATTATAGGTAACAATTTAGCACTTAGTTTTGCTTTTCAAGATGGGAAGCTCACTGAGAGCAGGATCCGTGTCTTTCTTAGGAAACCACCTCAGCAGCTACGACACTGTCTTATACATAATAGACACACAATGTATATCTGAATGAACAAATGGATGAGTAGAGAGGATGGAATTCCAGATGTGAGTTGAACATATGAAGTCTTTATGTAAATGCTCTTTGTTCTTTGCTAGCTCTTTATGATCAATCAGCAAATATTTACAGATTGCCTAATGGATACAGGGCACTGTTATAAAACAGTTGGAAAGGGAAGACATAATCAGGGGGACAGTTAAGCAATTTCTTCAGAACGATTTTCTCTTAAGCCTTCATTACACACGTGATTAATTGGTTGATAGAAATGTAGATAGGTAGATATAGATTGATCTGTATATACATATAGATCTTGTTAACTTTTACTAAATGGTTTTGGAGCTTTAGATTATGGGTAAAAATGGTTGATTAATAGGGAATACGGGAACTACCACTTATCATTTTATTGCAAGTCTGTTTAATAACTACAACTTTCCCACTTTAGTAACAGACAAAATTTATTTATTACTTAGCAGAAGTCCTAATAAATGTCTCATGAATCTGGGAACTAATAGCATATTTCCTGTTTCTCAAAGGACACACTATTGTTTTAGTGTGTTGTACTTCGTGGTTTATCCTTGCATAGTTGTGCAGTATTCTGCGCAGACTGATAAAGTGAAGGCCAGCGTTGATAGTAGTAATTCGTATTTCTTCATAAAAGGGTGTATGGGTGAGTTTCTAGGTAGGCCTGAACAGGATCAAGATAGCCCCCACAAACCTCTGACTTATTATCCAGTGTACCTCCATTTCTATTTTTGCAAGAGGAAGCTACCCTAAAGCTGCACCTAAACAAAGGCGAATTTGGAATGACACTTGCAGTTTCATGTAAGTGAAATTGTCTTGAAACAAAAACAGTGGACACAATCCAGTGTGTGGGCTTTGGGGAGGAGGTCAGACATGGCGCACATCTGAGCCACCTGATGTGGCTCTTTTCTGCAGACGCCTGTGATGTTGATACTCCTTAGTAGCCTGGAAATTCAGGCCCACTGATGGGACGGCAGCCAGAGACTAAGTGCCTGTGTCTCAGGGACTCCTAATTAGATTATGGTGAATCCATTTTTTTCTTGGAGCACTTCATCTACTTAATGTATGAGTGGAAAAGCATTTTTCTCTCCAGAGTCCCACCTCCCTCTTTTTTCACAGTGTGCGGAATTCTGCATGTTACGATACAAAGAGAATTAAATAAACGTGTTATGTGGACTATAGTTTAATGTCTAAGACAGAAACACTGAAATAAGAGCAGCTGAATAAAAAGAAACAGGCAATCAGTATCTTAAGTGACAAAACACATTTTATCATCTATAAGTAAAGGGTAAGTATCTTAAAGGACAAGCAACCAGGGACAGGGGGACAGAAACTAACAGTATATGTTTATTATGGAATGGGCACTGTGGTTGGCATTTCATAGAGGGTAATGTTTAAAGCTCTTGGTTTTTCCATTGTCCTTTACTCCTTTCCCTCAAATGATGTCATCTGCTTTGAGAAATGACCAAAGAATTGGGCCCAGGTGTTTTAGTTCTAGCTAGGTCCCATACTTCCCAAAGGCAAGGACCACGTCTTCAATTTCCCTCATATTTTCCCCAGCATCTGGAATGGTGCTTGGTTCATTGGTATTGAGTAATCATTTGCCAACCAATTCGGAAGGATAAATGCCCTGTCTGGATATTTGGGGAGGGGGATGGTGTCTATGATTGACATTTAGCATTCCCTGAAGGATTACATAATGGGTCAGATAAAGCAGACCAGGCATTGCAGAGTGGAGGGGGGACATGCATGGCGAGTGTGACTTGGACAGAAGAGGAGCCAGGAATCTAAACAGAAGTAGATGATCGAGGTTCATGGAACTAGGGTGACGTTTATTTTTTTATGCATTCAATGGAAGACTCTTTTTGAGCAAGGGCGTTTCTATACACAAAGACTATGGGATAGTAATCAAGCAGCCTCTGGCCTCTCAGCAGTCCAGGAATGGGTTGGTGAGGATCAGGACTGGGTGGAGGCAATACTAATAGAAAAACAGCAAGGGATTCAAGACATTAGGAAGGAAAAACTGACTGCCTTTGGCACAACCCATTTAGACAAAGAAGAAATCAGTGATGACCTCACGGTTTTCCTGTTACTGTTACTGGAATTCACAGAGGTTGGAAGACATTGATGGCTTCTGGGCATTGAGGATAGGAAGGCTGAGTTGCAATAGAGTTGGGAGAAATGTCCACATGGGCACTGAAATTCCTTGTCCCCAAAGTCCCTTAATAAGCGAAAAGATCACCTGGTATATATTTATAGTAGGGTATAAAAGTTTTCACAGAATGACTCCTGGAAATTATATACCAACTTAACTTTTTATGGAAATTTGGAAAGTGATTTAACTTCTTGTCAGCTTTTCCTTCTGTTAGCAATTTAGTTACCATTGGAAAGAGTGAATTATAAGCCAGTTCACTGAATACGTTGCAGGATTGCTTGTGGGTATCCAGTAAAGCCATCTTCTGGTTTCCTTGTCTCTTGAGTGACAAAACCTGCTGATACTTACTTGAACTAGAATACTAAGCAAACAAAAAGGCTTAAATTTATGAGATTAAGAGAAGTATATATTATATGTATTTAAAACTTTTTCTTCCTAATTTATCCAGGTTGACTTTCCTCAGACTTTAATTTCTACATTAGAAAACCCATTTCTTGTTCATTTTAAAAACCTGAACTGACTGATTTGTGATTTCAGAACAACGTAATACTGTGTTATAAAAATCAAGCATTTAGAATGCCACTATGGCCAAAATGTCTCAATTGAGAAAGTGTTTCTTAAATTTCAGTCAATGTTAAGTGTCCCTAGGACAGTGCTAGCGTGTCATTAACTTCCTCAGCTCTTTAGAGAGAGACTACTACAGAGGAAAAAGTAAAAGTTATAAAATATATCTAATCTCCAACTCTCAAATCCGCATTTCACACTTTTTCTTAAAACACCAGTGGACCACGCTCTAAGCGTTCAAATTAAATTTTGCAGAAAACACCATTCATTTTATAATGCCATTTTTAGTTCAAAATTACAATATGTACACTTTCATTGTTACTCACCTAGTTCATAAGCTCTTTCATATACTGGTTTTTGGAGACCACGTTTCCTTTTTCTATTAGCAAGTGTGATAATCAAATGACCTCAATTAGAGAGGGGAATAAAAAGGCTCACAAATCTTAAAATAACTCCATTATCTACGCAGAGAAGGTCAGTTTTTCTTTCCCCTGTACCAGCTGATATTTAAGTAAGTGGCAATCGATCAGTCTAATGTCTGGCTCTCGTTTTTCATAAATGAAGGGCTGTGGCTTTAAGTAATCGCAGGCTGCCTGTGCCAAAGGCACAAGCTGCAGCATCAGCTTCTGTGAGGAGAGCGGCGGCTGAGGCATACGGTAACCTGCAGGATGTGAAGTAAGGCTAACCCAGGACCAATGGCGCTCCTCCTAGTAGAGCTTTGAATGTGGATAGACCGACTGGTGGGTGGCGTGGCCACCTGTGTGCACTTCTTGGACTGTTTGGGGGGAGGGGGGAGTTGGAGACAGAAGCTGGAAAATGGGCTGCTCCAGCAGCAAAATGTGCCTCTATTCTCCATGTGCAGCAACAAGGGTAATTAGTATTTGTTTATAGTGCTTTTCTGGAAGAATGTCAGGCACCAAGGTTGAGGTTGTTTGGAATCAGGGGGAAATGCTTTGAATGACAAGCAACTTTTGCCTGCAAAGGCTGGGTCTCATGATCTCAGTCTGCAACACTGATCAAATGCGGTGAGAGCTCCGATCTTGGGTGATCCTAGTGAGGGCATTTTCAGAGGGCTTTGAATTCTGCCTTTTCCTTCCTTACACCCTGGAGTAGGGACTCTGCCTTATAGAAACGGTCTCTAACTGCCCTGTGTGTGTAAGTATGTGTATATATGTATGATTGCTGTGAGTTGCTGGTCACTTGGAAATTGCTTTTTTTTTTTTTTTTGACAAGATTGATAATGGCTTTTTAAATACTGGAACAGCTGCCTGGTTTTCTTGGATTCATTTCTCTAACATCTACTTAGAATTATAGCTAACCCAAAACATTATAATCCTTAGAAAATAATGTGTAAAATTAATTTTGTCTTTAAAGGATTATTTTTTTCACTATAGTTTTATAACAAACTTTGTGTCTTCCTTTTAGAGAGAAAGGATTGTAACAAAACTTTGTTTTTGTTTGCAAATATAGGACAAAGTGCATATGTTTAGAACATTAAATATTTATCTTAAACTGATTAGGTTCTTTATTGCCCTTGGAGGAGGAGAAAGAATTGTGTCTTAAGTGTACTGTATGCATTAGCTAAAAGGTTCTATGGCTCAGCAATGAAGCATGGCTCAAAGTAAATATTTTTAAGTGGGCCATTCAGTGCCTCAGATGAAAGTTTCATAAGGCGCTGAGAAAATACAGATGTTTGAAACACAAATTTCCTTAACAACTAAGGGATATCTATGTTTTTGAACAACATGAACTGTTAGCCTAAATGATTTGTATCTTGGTTTCTCGATTCTCAGTCTCGTTTTCCTGGTGATAACAAATGTGCGACCTACTGAAAGGGACCCTCTTTAAAACATTAGTAATTTGATGTGTGTTTTCCGCAGCAGGAGGAAGCACTGAAACAACACAAAACCCTATCTCAAGAACTTGTTAACCTCCGGGGAGAGCTAGGTAAGAGCATTTTTCTTGTTAAGTTTTATGGGGCACGGGGCAAATTGGACAGTTTGGTTTGCCTGTCTGCAGTGTGTCTGGAGTTGCATGCTGGCAGTTGTTAGCTCTCCCACTCTGGTATCTGTGCAAACGCTATCGACATTTCTTTTAAATCTTGGCAGCTTGACCTCAAGTTCACAGAATTCCTGGCACTGATCTGACTACAGCCGAGCAGAGCTTCTGATGATCAAAACATTGCTCTTCCTGCAGAGAGGGACAGAATGATTTTTGTAACGGTGTGGATTCCTGTTAAATAATTCAGTCATATGTTTTGTTTTGTTTTTTTTCTGAACCGCTTTTCCTATTCAAGAGTTTAGAAACTTCCCTCGCCGTTAACATTACACTTCCTCGGGGGTGGTTTGTGAATAGTGAGCCTAAAGTTAGAAGGATGCTGCCTATAGGGGTGGCCTGTCTGAAGAAGGCTCATTCTGTGTTCATCTTATATTTGAAGGGGGCTGAGGATGAATAGGGACCCCATTCCATAGGAAGCCATGTGTCTCACCTGTCTTTAGCTGTCCACCCAGGCTGAACTCTGTTTTAGTCCTTGTCTCTCCTGGAAGAGTTCTCAGGATTTGTGTAACAGAGACAATACTGCCTTCCCTACCTCAACTACCGGGTTGGGGTGTACTGACTACCTTGGGGTCCTGTCTGCTGTAGGCACCTCTGCCCTAGAGAACCAGCTTTTTAGCTTCAGCCAGGCCTGGAGTGGTTCACTGAAAGGCTGACTTCCTTGCCCAGTGTTCTGCGTATGCTGACAGCCTCTCCATATTGTGCATGTAGGTGTGTGTATAAATAATGCACAGGCAACAGCAGAGACAAAAATCATGTTCATCTAGTTCTTTCTTTGGATAAGACCAGAGTTTAAACATTGTCAATATAAGGGGCTGAACTTGAACAATCTTTTTTCCCCCGGGCAAAGATCAAACAGCCCTAAGTGTAGAGTCAAGACTTCTTTCTGCATTCCTCTTCTCTTTTCTCCTCTCAGTGGAGGGCAGCCCCAAACTCCTGGCAAACCCTTCAGATTCTTAATCCCTAGCCAGGGCATCTTTTTCTCCTGATCTTATTTTAGGCTATGGAAATGAAGGACTCTGTAAGGAACAGTAATTTTAGGACAGATGGAACTTTGGCACCGCCATAATTTGAAAGTTCTAGGGAAATAGTTCAAGGAAGCCACAGCTAAAGAAACAGTGCTCTGAGACTTTTTAAGGCTTCCTGCCATGTTACTTAACTAGACTACTGTCCTTTTGATTACCCAAATGACCAACTTAATTTGCTTTTGTCTGTGCCTTAAGTAATGTGTAATGGATATAGAGGAAGGAGATCAGGCAAGAGGCCTTTTTTTGTGTGTTTCAGAGTTCATTATAACCCAGTGGAGGTGGAGATGAGCCTACCTGGTGGTTCAGGTTTCAGCTTCTCCCCAAGACAAGGCCGAAACGCCAATGGAACACTGTTCTCATTCACTCTGCTTGAATCGGGGATCCTCTTTTTACCTTTGAGTGGACAGCACAATTAAGTGATTTAAATTGGGACCCAGGCACTCTTCACCTCCAGTTGGTCACATATCCTGACAGGAAATAGCCGTACCCGTTTGTACCCACTCTCACCTTTCCATCTGTGATAAGGAGAGTAGGCTCTGGTGTGCTTTTACTGCTGTTATCACAGTGTCAGGATGCAGTGGTTGGCCCGTCCATATCATTTGGTCATCCAAGGCTAGACTCTTAGGGAATGTGTCATTGCTGCTCTTGAATCAGGTCCAGTTGCTCAAGTTAACAGTGTAAAGCATTTTGGGAAGGGCTTTGGTTCTGTGAGGGGACAGAATAGAGCCCTTTAAATAGTTCTTCTGATGAGACAGTCCAGGAAGAATGCTCTCAAAGCTGCCAGTTTGATTGTTTGCAGCATGAGCTGAGGTGGAAAAAAAAAACAACCAGGTTTCCATAGCAAAGTTGAAAATTCAGTTTTAAAATTTGAGGCATGCATGCAAAATGATTAGACAGTTGTCACACACTGTCCAGATTCAAATCTTTGGTAGCTGGGTGACTGAGGGCAAGTTACTTTACATATCATGGGTCCCTATTTCATTCCCTGTAAAACTGCAGCCATAATTGTCTGCCTCAAGGGTGATTGTGAGAATTACATGAGGTAACATACTGGAAAGCGTCTAGCACCGAGTTCTAACTGCTATTAAATAGTAGGTATTAAGGGTAAAGGGCAGGGGTCAAATATATAGTGATGGAAGGAGAGCTGACTTTGGGTGGCGAACACACAATGAAGCACATAAATCATATAAATGATGTATTATAGAAATGTACACTTGAAAACCTATATAATTTTACTAACCAATGTCACCCCAATAACTTTAATAAAAATTTAAAAATACCTAATTATGAAAAAATGATGTATGCAATTTACAGCTGTGTAGTAACTAAACCGCATTTGGTGTTTTGTGAGGGCATAGATCATACTGCAGAAATAAGTACTAATTAGATGAAATATTAATAGAAATCCCTCAGCACTGGCTGGTTTTTCTCTTCACACTCAAATGGAAGTGAGACGTGATTAAGCTCCACCTGATAGAGTAGAAGTGCTTGGGGTGTGGAGTCCAGAGTTTAGGTTTTTGTCTATCCATTCCTTGATAGAAGTTACCTAATTTCTTTGAGTACAATTTCCCCCATGGTGATGTGAAGTTAATATGTATTTTGCTGGGCCCTTGGGGAGCTTGAATTAAATGGTAACATACATGAAGCAACTGACATAGTGCCTGGCAACTCAAGAAAAGAGAGCTGCCCCCATCACCATCATTTTAGTACCTACTTTTTCCCTCCAAAATCATGGGGGACCATTGGTGTCACTCTCCCATTGAATAATTTTTTTTTTACCGTCTATAAAATTGATGCAATGTTCCCAAACTACTAAGAACTGCAAAGAATAAAGGACAACTCATAAACTCAGGAGCACTGAATCCCAAATAGAGTCTGCACCCCTGACCTTCAGAACCTGACTGCCTCCCACTGTCCCTTCCATTGGCCAACTCCCCCAGTGCTGTCTCACTCGTTACACTGGCAAGGTGACCCAGCTGACCTCCCATGCAGCCTGCATGTTTCTTGAGCCATCCCCTCTTCATGGAGTGACTCTCCATTTTTTTCTTAAAAAATCCCTTCTCAGTCCTCTTAGAGCAAACCATGAGGCCCTCTTTGTTCCAGTGAGCCCTTGATTTTTCACAGTATTATTTATTATATCTTGTGTTTTCCTGTTTTCTTCAGATAGTAAACTCCTTAATTAGCAAGATTCTTGCCTGCTTCCTGTGAAAAAATATATATGAGGTGCTTTCCATTTTTATGGGTAATTGGTAAATATTTATGGGCATTCGAGGTTTTTAAAGTCCCTTTTTATTTAAGAACAATGTGAAAATTAAACAAAATGTTTAAGTGAGAGAAAATAGCCCATAGCTCTACTATCCTGATATAACTTTTATTTTTGTATATTCCATTGTCTTTGTTTATATGAATATATACACCTTTAAACTCTGAATTTTTAAATTAAGATATAATTTACATATAGTGGGATGCTTATTGTTCCATTGGTTTTTTTTTAGATTTTTTTTTTTGAATTGGGGAATTGGGGAATTGGGGGAGGGGAACAGCGTTGGGGAATTGGGGAAGGGGAGCAGACAGTGTTCCATCTGTTTCGACAAACAGATACACTCATGTAACCTACACCTTTATCAAGGTAAAGAAGAGTTCTGTCATCACAGAAAATTCTCTCATGCCCCGTTCCAATAGACCTGTCTTCCCCTAGAAGCAAACACTAATCGTACGTTTATCATCATAGGTTAGTTTTGTCATTCTAGAATTTCATAGAAATGGAAATACACAGTATGTTCTTTTTGTGTTTAGCTTCTTTCACACAGCATAATGTGTTTGAGCTCCATCCATGTTTTTTTGTATACTCTGGTCTTTTTAAGTTATGTCAGGCACTTTTCTATACTACATCATAGTCGTCATTATGGGAAAGTGTTATCGAGTGGATGTAGCATAGTTTCACCTACCCCTTAAATAGAGTTGTAGTGTAGTGAGGGTTTCATTGTCAGCTGTGTTCCCATCCATCCCCATGGCTTCAGCTACCACCTATAAGGGGTGATGACTTACTGATGGATTTTTCTAGCTCTCTCCCTTCCAACCTGCAGATGCATGTTTCCTAGTGAAGAGCTGCCTGCAGAAGAGCTAATCCGGTGTAACCAGACCTTGCTTGAATCCCCAGCCTTTTGCTTCCTGAACACTCGGTAGTGTCTTATCATTCAAACTATTCCTCAAAGTCTATTAATCATCTTCTGTAGTGACATTATTATTCTCTCAGCACCCAAGCCAACAAATGAATCAGACTCCTTTTCCTCCATCTGTCACGTGACACCGGCCTGTGCTCAAAATATTGCTCAGCTCTACCCCTCCTCAGCATTCTGGTTGCTGCTGCTCTAACTTAAGCCCTGTAATTTCTCACCTGGACTATGTTACAGTGGTCATCTGACAGCTCACCTTGTCCCCAGGGCTGCTTCTCTTCTCTCCACATGCTACCAGGACTGTACTTACAAAACATGGCACATGTTCTCTACTGGACATTTTTAACAGACATGAATGACTCCATTTTGGCTTTGGGAAAAAGTCCATACATACTAAAGCAACCATGTATGATTTGACTGTAACTTTCCAGTCCAACTTCATGATGTCTGGATGCTCACTTCCCGTTCTTCATATTTTCTTTCCCCTCTCCAAGTCCCAGCCATGGGTTTTTTCATACGTCTTTTGCATGTCTTTGGCACATGTTATTCTCTCTGCCTCAAATGCCCTCTCCTCTTTCCAACACCTTTCTATTTTTTGCCTCTCAAATGCCTTCTCATTACTCATTTTTTTAAGTCCTACCTGAAATATCTTGTCTTCAATTGAGTTTCGCCCACATCTTTCAAGTAA